AGAAAACCGTCTCGAGACATAAGGTTTCTTTTTATGCCTGTGGTGTTGAAATGCAAAAAAACTGTGCCTTGTTCGACTGAGAGCATGTGAAACTTTGACCAGTTGTGCATTGTTTCATTGGCCACCCTGCAGAAACTTTATCTGAACCACAAGTTTTTGGAAAAAACACGCACTAACCGAAAAAAAATTGCACCAAACAACGCTTTAACTAGAAATAGAATCGCTCACAGCAATCCTGTCCTTTACGGAGGTAAAGAACAGGCGAACTTCGAGGTCTCTAAAATGAGAATCAATCGAAATCGTCATATATTAAATCCAAAAAACTGCAAATAAATGCTTGTTTGTGTTTATTTCTATTTTTATTTCTTATCTGCTCAAAAATAACATTTTTAATTTTGTTATTGGTTACAACGATCAGAATCGGGGTCAAAAATCACACGCGTTCGAATATGGGATCATTTTTTCTTCAAAGCTTCCTATAAACAATTTAGAACATTTCCTTAAATAAATTTGTGTAAAAAATCAAAGTTTTTAGCCACCGACTCCCTAAGACACAACCGTCCATACCGTTCGACACGCGACTGAAAAGGCTAAACAAGAAACCGGTGCCGATTCCAAAAGTGGCAGCAATAACATTAAATATACAAACAATTAACGTTTAGTCATTGTCTGGCATTCGCAAGGAATCATTAATCAAACTGTGATACAATGGTGAAACTTAGTTATGAAATTTCAAATAGTTGGCCTCTCTCCAACACGGATGATGGTTGGCACTTATGTGGGTCATTGTATCATTTTTCTCCTTCTTTTCAATCCGAAATCTGCTCTTCAATTGGCTGACTGTTCGCCTGAAAGGGCCGCTAATACGAAAATGTTTCAATAAACCGCAAGAAAATGATGATTAATTAACTATTAACATTCATCATGCACAAAAGATTGGCCATCGAGTTCATCTTTCGTCCGTAAAGCGACCGTTTTTTAGTTGTTTGAAAACCATAAAAATAACGTTAGAAGCACTTGAGACAATAATTTTGCTGAAAACTCCGAATAATTTCACGACAAGTGATCTTTTGATTTGTCGAACGACGAGTTTGCTTTCCTTGCAAACCACATCTGAACACGTAAGACACTCGTGTTTGCGAAACGTCGGGAAGATTTGTTGCAACAGCGGGCCTAAAAGCCCTTAATACTCAAAAGCGCAAGACTTTTGCTGTTTTTTTTTGGGTTTCAACTTATATGCGGAAAATTTGCCACAAAATCTTCAAAACCCCAATAATTTAACACTAAAAGCAGTTGAGAAAACAAAATCCAAATAAATGTCTCGATAAGTCCGATTTTCGGTAATTGCTAAGATCATCAGACCGATAAGGGAAAGATATTTGGGAAAACGACCAGTTTTTTGAAGATTTTCAAGAAACCTTAAGAAAATTATGACTAATTGTAGCTAAAAATTTGTCATGCGTAACTAGACGCGCAAAGGATTGACCATTAAGTTCCATCTTCGTGCATAAAGCGCCTGTTTTTGGTTGTTTGGAAGAAAATCTTCAAAAAACATAAATTTCGCATTAGAAGCACCTAATGCTTGATTTTGTTTTTGAAGGTTTTTCGAGCTTTTAGACCGGCCGTAGAAAATATTTTTTCCTGACGTTTCGCAAGCACGACTGGCTTACATCTTCAGATGTGGTTTACAAACAAAGCACTCTCCTTTGCACTATGCGCCCAAAACCCCAAACGCTTTACAGTTCAATGGGCCACCAAACCGTAACACTTTTGCCTGTTTTCGTTGCAAAACCTAATAATTCCATACTAGACATGAAAAACCAAATAATTGTTTGAAAAGTACGGTTTTCGGTAATTATTGAGAACGTTAGGCCCTCACATGCGCGCTTAACAACGTGCTCACTTTATGGGTAACATTTTTATTAACAACTTTTCTTAGGGTTGTGAAATGCGATTTTTCAAAATATTTTTCCCAATAAAGTTCACTAACTTTCCATAAGATAACAAAGGACGTCATAGTTCGCAAACGAAAAAATTAGCAACTTATCAAATCACCTGCAAAACGTGTTTAAAAAAAAATCAACTACAAACAACATGTGGATTTGAAACTAATGGGCTTTTCGGGTTTTTAGGCCGTCGTTCGGTAGAATTTCTTCTTGACGTTTCGCAAGCACGAGTGGCTTGCAGCTTCAGAAGTGTTTTGCTTGTGGAAGCAAACCACTTCTGAAGCCTCGAATGGCCTCGAAAGTCTATCTTTTTTGATAACATGTGGATTTGGCAAACGCGCGAAAATTTTCGAACTGCGCCATCGTGAAAACGGTTTGGCAGACAGTGGGGACGTTATGGCGTCCTTATGGAATAGTAGTGACTTTCAAAGAGTTAAAAGTGGTCGAAAACAGGTGTTTCACAAAAAAACCTCTTGGAAAAATTGATGCTTAATCAACTCCAAGGGCGAGGAACACAAAAAAACGAAAAACTGCCAACTTCTCTCCTAGTTAACTGGCTTGCAGCATTAAAAACCCACAAAACCGTACTTACACAAAGCATTCAGCACAGCGAAAACTAGAAAATGTTCACAGTAAACTCCAGTAGTTCTGCACCACTAAAAGACCACGTGTGAAATGAGAAGCAACTGAAGAACCAGCCAGGCCCGATCAACGTGCTATCGGCAAGATAACCCGAACCGAAATAACAAACAACATCCCATTGAAATCTCGCACATCCTAAAACACTGACATTTAACTACCACAGAGTGCGGTCAGAACAGCTATAAATACTTGGCGATAATATTTAAATATTTAAATCCACTTCGATGGTGAAAAGCCACAAGCCACCTTTACCGGTATTTGCTTAAGAACGTTTTATTAATACGGAAAATACATTCGATATTAGCGGCCATCATACGCGTACTAATCGCGTCTTGGAACATCAAGCGAAAGAGGGAAAAAAAGAGGAGAATCGTTACGGCTTAATGATTGACAGTGTGGCTGGTTTGTCGTCGAAATAAGCGGCTACAATTTACGAAAATAGTGTTGGAATGGTTATTTTTGGTATAGAAACCCTGGCTTCAACCGATTTTAAGCAAAAAAGACTGTTGAATGCGGTTGGTTAGAGGAGAAAGAAGTGCACAATCCCCAGTCCAACTGGCGTATATGTATATGTCCTGTATGTATATGAATAATTAAAGCATTATTATTCGAGTTAGTAAAAAAAGATTCTTATCGTCAGCAAGTTGAACTAGTTCACGACTTGGTGAGCCCGGCTGAATCAAATCTAGCCTGAAACGGTAATAATAAAAGGATATTTGGGTTCTTTCACCTGATCGCTAACGATTATTCCAATTAATTATTTAAACATGAAATTGGACTAGTTCCAGTTCCACGACCGCAGCTGGGAGCCACGATAGCTTTTCACATGCTAATTTACCATCGATTTGAACCAAATGATAGCAGAAACAATGGAAAGTAGCCCCGATTCGCCGGCAATTATTCACGAATATTAAGTAACAAAAATTGTTAAGAAAACGCGTCCAAAACCCGATCAACTTCAGCACCCAAAAGCTCGAAAAGGCAGCGAATGTGTACATAAAGTATTCCAATTTATATAACAGTGGGCAAGTGTGGTTCAAGGTCCTCAACAGTGTGGTTCTTGTATGGTGTATATTGGGAGATTGCGGTCAACTACCTACTAATCTCAAGCAAAAAAGTAAAAGTACTGAAATGCATTTATTTACTCAGAATGTTGATTGCTGGGAACTGATGAGTTTTCGGGCTTTTAGGCCAAATATGCGTGATTGCACGGAACGAAACGGTTCTTTTCAATTCGTATTGATCAAGCAACCAAAAAACTGAAGATGTTTGTGCCATGCCATGGGGGACGTTTATTCAATAAGCCACCTCCTAGCTTGACACAATTTACCGCAGAAAGTTCATTCGTTTTTTGTTCAAGCATTTTTTGAGAAAACTGCTAACATTTTCTTATCGATGGTTCACTTGCTAAAAAGGCCATTTATTTCT